TGAATTTAAAGCAAGATTATTTGGACTGGCAAAAACTGATATCAAACTTTCGCAATTTTCGATAAAAATACTTAAAATATGAGGATTACCATCGAATGAAGGAATTGAATCTAAATATAATCTAAGCATTTGATAATCTACTGGAGGGGGACTCATTTCTGAATTATTTTCTAAATTATCTGAATTATTTTCTAAAGAACTTAAATTAAAACTTGTTTGAAACAAATTAACTAAATCGAAAATTTCGTGTTCACTCATAAAATAGATCAAACACAGTTAATAATAATTATAACTACTATAAGTAAAATTAAAAGGAATTAAAAGGAAATAAAAGGAATGAGCACTTACAATATAATGAAGATTTTCATTCTTCTTATCTGCGAAGGGTTTGGACGATGTGTGTTCCTCTCCCAGGTGTAGAATTCGTTTTCGTCTTCTTCAAAGTACACTCAATGTTCGATCAACTGCAACTGTCTGTTCGCGACCCGATATTCTTTCGAATGGAAAACAGAAAAATCCGATATACTTTCGAATTTATAGCTCACAGTATCGCAAAGTTCGTTATTTTGGTTAATCGTTGATACGAAAAATTGCCCGTGCGATACGTTCAATTTCCAAAATATCCTACTCACAGACTGCGCCAATTAAGTGTGAGCACTTCAAAAAAGACTTTTTAAAAAACAAAAAATTTAAATGAAACCTTTATTAACAGAAAGCTAACAATGATCTGATCTTTTTTTATTTTGACTTATATTTATAATTTTAGTCCAGAGTGCAACGTAAACACTATTCTTGTATTAGTCGGCGGGATTGTTTCCATAACTTGCTTAATAGTTTCAAATCCTTAGGGTGCAATATGAGTATTAAAATACACTATTTACATAACCACTTAGACCGTTTTCCAGAAAATTTAGGAGATATGAGTGAGGAACAAGGTGAAAGATTTCACCAAGATATTAAAGTTATGGAGAATTTTTTTTAGTAACTGTGCTTGGGTATTAGGTGTTTTTTATAAATTCCACACCAAACATATTATGTGTGTTCAAGTCGCTGTACGTTTTGTACATAAAATAGATACAAATTTTTTTTTTTTATTTCTCCATACACTTGCTTCTGGTACCTAGGTACTGCTTATTCATTACTAATTCTTACACTAACAGAAGGATGATTTCGAACCACCTCATTCGTTCCTCTCTCCAAGTTCATCTGTAGGTAATTATATTTGGAAATTAAAATGAAATAAAACTTAAACGAACTGAAATCAAATTTAAAAGTTCAAAAAACTAGGTATTTTATAAACGAGCTGAAAACTCCATTTAGTCAACTGCCAATATGTCTCAAATTACACCATCACTCATGTCCTAAATATGATTACCTAATGTAAAACTTTATTATACCAGTAGGCTTGTGTCAAATAATATCATTTATTTAATGTACAGTATTTTGAGCTAAATTACTTTTGTTCATAAGTGTAAGTTTCTAATGGTATGAAAATAAGTATTTCAGGATGCCGTTTCAATTTAGTAATAAAGAATATGCAGATATTATTTTTGTGTTCGGTTTTTGTAACGGAAACGGTAGAGCAGCAGTAAGAGAGTATCGCAGACGCTTTCCTAATTGCCGTTTACCAAATTCTAAAACATTTTTACAGGTTCTCGAATTCAGTAAGCAACATGAAAAGTTTCCAACTACAGTTAAACATGAACATGCTCCGAGAAATCATCATCTACAAGAAGAAGAGATACTACAGATAGCTCGAAATAATCCTTCTATCAGTGTAAGAAGAATTAGTAATGAATTAGCAGTACCGATAACAAAAGTATGGAAAACTTTAAAAAAATAAATTTTGCATCTATTTCATGTACAAAAAGTACAGCGACTTGAACACGGAGATGACGTACCCCGTTTATCTTTTTGTAGATGGACTTTGGCCCACAGAAGGAAAATATCGAGAATTTTATTTACTGATGAATCCCAATTTACACGTTATGGAATCAATAACACTAGGAATGGTCATATTGGGGCAACTGAAAATCCTCACACTGTATCACAAAAACAGTACCAATATAGATTTTCTATAAATGTATGGTGTGATTTTTATAAAAATCATTTAATGGGCCCTCATATTTTTGAAGGCAGATTAACAGCTGAACTATATTTAAATTTTCTATTACTGGTCACTTGGTCAGAGACCATTTAAATCATCGTTTCCAAATAGATGGATAGGTCAAGGCGGTTTCGTCAATGGCCACCAAGATCTCCAGATCTAACACCTCTGGATTACTTTTTATAAGGCTACCTTGAATCAGAGGTGTACAACGAAGAAATGAATACCCGAGCACCACAGTTATTGGAAAAAAATTAATAATGTATGTAACAACATTAGAAATAAACCGGAAATAATTGACAAATCAGTTAAAAACCTGTTAAAACGTTCGCAGAGGTGTATTGACGTACACGGTGTTCATTTTGAAAATCTACTTTATTTTTAATTATTTGTTTCTGTTAGTTTGTTCTGTTACTTTATCAAATAAAGTAAGCCCGGTCCTGTGTAGATGTTCAATTTCTTATTGGAAAATGCAGTAGTTAAAAATAAATGAAGATGGTACCTAATTTGTGTTGAATTTTAAAAATACAGAGTAAAATATTTGATTTTAATTTTGTAAATACTGATTTATAATGTTATTGTAGTCGCCATTATAAAAATTTAGTGTAAGAACGTCATGATGGTGCCATTAAATATTCTTACATTATTTTATTAACTGATCCATGTACTATTTAAATGTCCAGTAACATTTATTAAAAGTCGATATACAGGGTGATATTCTAGCTAAAAAGAGCAATATTAAAAAAAAGAGAGTCCGGTCCTGGAATTTTTTAAAATTAAATTATGGTTTTGATTAAACTAAGAGAGTGTAACTTTTGTACAAATTTTTATCAAAATTTCTCTAGCCGTTCAAACCAAATGGCCGACTTTAGTTTTGGCAAAAAATCATAAAACACCCTATATCTCAGAAACGAGTGAGATTAAAGGCTAAGTATAGTAGTGTTTTAAACTCAGCTAAGTGTACTCTACCTCTCATTAAGTTGTATCCGTTTAAAACTGAAACACCCTGTATAAATAATACATTTATTATCATTATTTTAGTCATAAAACGATTTTTTAAACATGTAATTTTTCTACTTTAATTTTAAAAATTACTGTACAGTGTACAGTTGTTTTTTAAAATGGTTAGTAACGTGTTTTGGTAGTCAAATATATCCTAGAGCGCCAAACCATAACTTATAATATTTACGAAAGTAAGCAAAATTTAATTTAAAATTATCTACCTATCTCGAAAACTAGATACTCGTAGGAGAATTTTGTGCCCACGGACACTTAACTAGGAGGTCAAAAACTTCAACATATATAAAATTCTGAATATTCGACCGAAAGCTATTTACAATAATGAAACTGCAGGGTCCTTTGAGAGAATCATGAAAGATGTTGATTAGTCTCCATTTTTAAATTCAAACTCAGTATCTTGCTAATTTTATAACTGATATTTTCAATTATCTTATAGAAAAACATTTCCATTCTCGTAAGATTATCTGTAACGTGTGGTGGGTGGGTTACCCTCACGGCACTTAGGCCTCATTATGCCCATTGTGCATCCTCCTAAGATGATAGGCACCTCCTAGCTCGCGAGCCAGCCTACAGATTTGATGTAGTTGACAACGTCGCCAAGAGGTACTTCTTTTATATCGGCCGGTGTTAGCCGATACTCGCCGAACACAAATCTAATAAATGAGAGCGTCGATCGATCGTAAAGGATATTCTCGATGGTCTCATCTTCTTGTTCGCACCCTCTGCAGGGTGCGAATTCTGACAGCCTCATGATATCGAGATGCTTCCGTACTTAGCAATGACCAGTCAGAATGCCTGTGACTAGGCGCAGACTCTGTCTAGTCATAATCAAGTATTTGTTTGCTGCAGTGTTGTCAGGATAGCTTAAGAGCTCCCTGGCAACTCTGCAGTTTCTTGTTTGATCACATCTTTCCTTGAATTTCACAAGGGAATGTTCTTTAATTAGGTCTGTCACTACCGATTTTGTCAGGCCAATAGAAGGGCCAGGTCCAAAAAGTATTTGGTTGGCTGCTTTCTTGGTTAGTGAATCAACAAGACGGTCACCTTTCGATGTGGCGTGACCTTTGATTCATCTTAAGGTGACCATATTGTTGATGGATACTTCGGCCAAAGCTTCGTGACATTCTAGTACTAACCCTGAGTAAATTCGTGGTCTGTTCATTGTGAGTAGTGCTTTTCTGCTATCTGTATAAATGAGCATGTTCCTTCCAGTTATATTGTTTCTGGTTATTTCTTTTGCTGCTATGAGAATCCACGTTAGCTCTGTTTAAACTACACTGGCACTATTGCTCACAACCCATTTTATGTTTAGGTTTAAGAATCTGGAGTATATTCCACATCCTAAGTCTTGTTTTGTTTTAGAACCGTCGGTGTAGATATGAATCGTACCTGCCACTTCTGGCTCTTCTATTTGTTCTTTTATAACTTTATATGGCTTATGGAAGATTAATTTAAAGAATTATTTTTCTGAAAACTAGTTTGATGATGAACTTCACAATCAAAGTAAAACTATCTTATGCTTAAAAACAATTGATTATGTTACAAAGGATTTTAAAGCAACAAAATTATAAGCAAAACATGTTTAATAAAAGGAATATGGCATATATGATAAATATCTGTTGTAGTCTAGTAATGTGCCTAGAGTTTTTTCATCCTGTGTGTTTGTCACTGTGCATCTACTGCGACTTTGAGTCCTACAGTTTTACACCGTATCCTGATGGCCAATATATTCTTAGTGGTAAACCATAAAGTCATAGCTTTCTGAGAGATTTTAAATTAATCGTCAAAACAAAGATTTCTATTATACCGTATATTAAACGATTTAAATGTCTAAAATAGGTTTATATGGTAAATAGATAATAAATATAATTACCAAAATTAAAAAGAATTCGAAGAATATCTCTGGTTCTATCAAATGGTCTATTAGAAAATCTAACAGCAACAGTAAATTTCTGTCCTCTTCTGAGCACCGGAGTTGGTTGTTCTTCATCAGTTACCAAGTCATACTGATTTGTTTTATGCAGTTTAGAGTTTTCTTTTGGGTACAAATATAACATCTCAGTTTCCAACGCCATGTTTAATTATGTATTTGGGACACAAGCTGTAAATCAAAATTTATTCAAATAATTAACACATAATATAGTTAATTTAAAAGTTTAGATAATAGCTATTTATGCAATCAGTTACTAAATGCCTTATTTTATGTAACGAGTAAACGAGTTACATGCAATATTTTTTTCTAATTTTAAATAGATTATTTATAAAATTGTGTTTGGGTAAAAAATTACTGACATTTAGGCAACCAATATTACTTTCTTGTAGTTTTAGTGGATTATTTTGTCATGCATTATGTTTTAATTATTTTGATTTAGAATGGAAAAAAAGGACCAAAACAACATTATTACTGGGTTGTAAGTTAAACCAAATTCTTTTTTATAGGCCATCCTGCCCTTCTTTGATATAAACTTTCAATAAATAACAACTGGTGACATAATGAATTTTTCGCAACCAGTTTCATAATGTTCAACATTATGCAAATTGGTGAGTAAAGTAGATTATTTTGAATCTTGCTGGGATTACAAAAAAATATCACTTTATGTATTATTCTGTATCATGCAGTTGATACCTAACAAGAGACTTGGACCAAGGTCAATCGTTATGGTACCACTTTGAAAAAATCCGAATTCTCTAACTAAAATCTGTAACAACTAGTGGTTATAAAAGTGAATTTCGAGTGTCTTGGAAGCTACCAAACAGAGGAGTATTTACTTGGCTGTGGAGCGGAGCATGCAAGGGTTTCGTAGTACCCCACTTTTAAAGTTTATTTTTGACTTATTCTGAAAGAAAAAAATATGTACGTGTAGGTAAAGGATAAATCTATGCTCCTCTGGAGACACTTTTTTAAAATTTTAAACTGTTTTTGCTAAAAAAAAATACAAAACTTTTACCCATTTTCTCAATTTTTTTTTAGAAATAACTAAATTCATAACGGTCAAAAATTTTAGTTAACCTATTTATTTTAAATATAAATTGATTTTCATTTTAACTTAGAAATTTTCGAAAAGTGTACTATATTGTTTAATTGTTGCAACTTAACTGCGCTTAAAATACGAATTGATTTATGGAGCTTAACTGAAAAACAGGAACTAATGCTTTCATTCCAAAAAAAGTATTATGGTCAATTAAAATAATTTCGAACTGTGATATCTGCAAGTCCTTATTTAAAACCTTTAAATTTAATATTATCATTATACAAGAGTTATTTTTACAAATTGATACAAATATCGAACATAAGTTTGTTAACTTTAACATTATTTCCATAATACAAATAAATATATCTCTGTTAAAGAATACTCATCATTTATTTAATATATTCATTTAAACATGTTTATGTTTTTTGTCTAAATGATATTGAATACTAACTTTTTCTATACAATTTCTTATCGAGACATTGTGAGATAAAAACAGACAATTAATTAAAAGCGTACTCATAATTTTTCAGGTATAGAAATTTCAATGCTATACTGTTTCCCAAATTATGAAAATACTAAAGAATATTAAAAAAAAGCCAATTGAAGAATGTGTTAATATCTACAGAAGAACTTGCTTGACAACATCGTATTTCTTTTTTGGAAACAAAGAGTAGTCGAAAATTGTGAAAATAACAACATATTTTTATTTCACAAAAATAATAAGTCAGTTTTTGTTTTTTATGTAAATCATATCATTTTCAAGGCAATAAAACAGAAAAAAAGTCACCGAATACCGATTTCAAAAAGGTCTATTAGTTTTTATAGGAAATGGAAAGAGAAAGAACACTTTTTAATCAAGTTAAAATTCTTTACTAATTTCACTGTTTCTCTTCGACGATGTCCGGTCTCCGTCTTGTTTAAAATCGATAACTATAAACGGATTAAGGTATTTTGTACCGTGTTAAAAAATTTAAGAAAAATTTTAAAGAATATTTCTTTTTTAAAAAAAATTAATAAAATTTGACAAACATATACAATATTCTAAAAGATAAATCACATTTATGTGATTATACAAAAATTTTCTTTATTTTTCTAAAATAATATGGATTATCCTCTAAGTCTAAAATATATATAGTAGCTCGCAAAAAGTCTGCTTTTTATATGTTACTTTTTTCAGAAAATGTTATTCCTGATAAAACTGTTTAATTAAACCTAAAACTTTATTTATTCAAAAAATTCTGTATCATAATTCATAATATAAATTTGGCTGCATAGTGAACTAGGTACTCTTCTAGGAACCGAACCCACATTTTTACATATAAGATTAATTTAAGAAGATATATATAACTCCACATAGTAGTTTTTTAGTTAATACAATTAATATAGATTATTATATCCTTTTTAACCTACTTTAAAAAGGAGGAGGTTCTCAATTCGTCTGTATATATTTTTTTTATGTATGTTCAGCGATAATTCTTTAACACAATGTCCGACTTAAATGATTCTTTTTTGCTGGAAAATGTAATAATTGGGTCCATGAGAAAATCCTCAAACTTTTCATTCTTATGTATGTTTAGCGATAATTCTTTACCACCTTGTCCGATTTCTATAATTCTTTTCGTTAGTAATGGCCTCAGGGGTGGTCCTATATAAATTTGGTTAAGATGTGGTGATGGCATCTGCACGATTTTAAAGTCGGTGTTTTAAAATTACTTTTAATACTTGTTACGTAAATTAAAAGTTTAATAATTTGGTGCTTTCTTGATGCGTCGTTTTATGATTTCACTTTGTACATGTTTAAGTACAGATAATTATTATTACTGGCAGTTTATTTTAAATCAATAAAATAATATTTTGTTAATACAAAAAAGGCAAACAAAAAAGGCATGTGACATTCAGTGTAATAATAAAAATTAGATATATAAATAAGTATATTATGTACCAACAGACCAAACTTTCACTTTCAATCCCGCCTTTTTGTCGTAAAAGACTTCTAAATTTTTATCAGTAACGTCCGTACCGGGTTTGAACTGAATATTTTTGAACAAAAATATGGTACGCCACTGTTTTTTCTAAAAACCAAAATTATCTTTAAAATCCCTATTTATTTTGGAGCAAATTTGGTTTATAGACGTACTTTCGTACGACGCACCCTTTTCGCGTAAGAAAATAAAAACCAGTTTATTGAACCTGCTTTTGATATTTTGTTGAAATTTGGTAGGAACCCACCACGAGTGGAAACACTTTTTTTGGGCAATATTTCATAAAAATATCTAGAGTGATAAGAAACTTATGATAAAATAGTTATTTTTTTCTTAAAACTTTAACACCCAAGGATTCACACCCTTAAGTATCGGCACTCAATTAATAAATAACCCTGTATTAATTGATATTACCTTATTCGAACCAATCGTCTATTTTTTTGTTATTTGTATTTATATTTCACAACTCTTTACTCCTAAATGTACCTAATTTACCTAATTTAACTAAACCTATTCACTAAATTAAAATATAAAAATAATGTAAAACCCTCTAAAAAATCGAACTGCGTTATAACAATATCTCGTAATGCACCAAGAAAAACAAATACTCTGGTTCCCCTAATTTACTCTGACTCACTCAAGAACTGATGAACGTCGGCAGGCGTGGTAGGATTTTTCGGTTCCTTTGTCTCAACTTCGCGCGTTAGAGTTTGAAATAGGTATCCCCCGTATCTACATGCTATTGTTAAAATTATGAATGAATGCGGATTTTATTTAGTCTCGGAAGTAATTTTGTAGTATTTAGGCTCCACCCTTAAGTTGTAATTTTTATACCTACTAAACTACCGTTGCCCCGCAGGTCCTTTCAGTTTGTAATGTAAATTTGGCTCTTACGTGTAACAACTAGTTGCTGAGAAAGAAATTTTGACCGTTCGATAATAAATATTTAAATATATCAAGAAATTAATAGGTGTGTTTATTGATAAGATAATAGAAACTTATCAGAACTTATTAGGTACACTATTTTCTTGGAATAAAGTAATCTGTGTCTGTAAGGTGGGTTCCCCACATTACTTAGGCCTCAATAGCCCCATTATGTATGCTCCAGAGGCTGGAGCAGGAGCTGAAGCTGCATTTCAGGGCCTAAAGTCTGCTGGCACCGTGAAATGTCTAGGACATAAGGCCTGCAGATCTGCTTGAGATAAAATTGCATAATACATTTTGTGGTCTAGGTGAAATTTTAGAACTACGGCATATTTTTTAATTTCAAGCCAGTCCACTTGATGTTCCGGCACTTCCGACTCAAACGTGGTTAAAAGCCTGATCTACACCACATATACAAGTTGTATTATTTTTATATCAAACGTATAACAACTGACAAAAGTAGCTAGTCGCTCACATAACATCAATGTTCTATGAATATACTAAGAACGTTCTGTCTATGTCCTTTTTGGTATGTTCTTTATAGAATGTTCTTAGAACATACCTAGTATAGAAAGTATATACTGAGTACGTGCTTTGAAAGTATCTTCTAAAAAGTATATACTGAGTACGTGCCTTAAAAGTATATTTTAAACAGTATATACTGAGAACGTGCTATAACAGGATATTCTTAGAAGATACTAAAAAGTCATATACCCAGAATGTACCTTATATTCTGAGAACGTTCTAAATGCTTACAGGTAAAAATTAACACCAAATACATGTAGAAACATGTTTATATACATATTTATATGAATTTCCGAGTGCCGATCTGATAATTCGCTAACAAACGCACTAATAGAAGAGAAGAATGACATATTTTTTGATCATGCTTGAGGTTGTTAACATGTTAACTTGGCATTGCAACGCTTTATTGGTAAAAAAAAATTAAAATCAATTGCATCGTATGTTCTATATAAAAATAAACAAATTTAACTATATTTTTAGTTTTTAGGACCTACAAGTGATGTTAGAACACAGGATATCTAAAATATAAATTGTCAGTGTGAAATTATTAGTATGGTTAATACTAATGGCGAAATGAAACTGAAATACAGTGTTTCCAGAATTTCATACACCCTTCGTATGAAAAGAATCCTGTAAGGCCAGAAATTGTCCTGGAAGAACTAGACAATTAGCTAAAGGAAGACGAAAACTACAAATTGGTGGTAATTACTTAACAAAAATGTATTTAGGCTCTTGTTTTTGGTAGTGGAATGCCATGTACAATTTTTAATGTTTTAGGATCGACAAAAATATTTAAAATATTCCATTAGTTATGTACACTCATTTTTTATATGTACCATGTACCAAGTTTATTGATTTTTTTTTTTTAGGTTCAATGAAGATCCAATGTAGGCAAGCAAATGAAACTCAAGCCATGATACAATAAAATGTTGGTTGGTTAAGGCCAAAATAAGAATAAGTGTGAATTTTTGAAAATAAATATTTAAAAAATGTTCGTACGATTTTCATTATATACACTTATTCTTTGATGTTCAATATTAATGAAACATCCTGTATTAGGGTATCTAGTATATGCCTAGTATATGTTAAATTTAAATACTTAGTATATACTCAGAACGTACTATCAAATGAAAGTAGATACTTATTGCATACTGTACACATACTTAAAGTACATTCTCAGTATCTGCATAGCACGTATAAATAACGTCACGTAACATATACTTAGTATAAGTACTAAATGCAAATTAAGTATATTCTCAGCATATGCATATTCTTAAAAAGTATATACTAATAATATGCTAAGAATGTATAATTTTTATCGGGGCACGGTTGCTATAAAGTTGTATGTGTGGTGTAGATGAGGCTTTTAACAACTCAAGTTAGGAAGGCCGGGACCAATGAGGTTTATATCTCCAGGGCTGGGACGTTAGGTAATTGATTTGAAATAATAAAAAAAAATCATAAAAATGTCGCAATTCTAAACTTTCATTAAGATAGCAAAATTTAATGTGCAATTTTATAGCAAGCTGACTTGTAGTCCTTTTAATGAACCGAGAGGTGATTCGTAGATAGCTCTCGGTGATGTTATATCAACCTGTAGACTTTTTGGCGAGCTGAGAGGCAGGTCCTAAATGCCCCTGAAGGATGCACAATGCGCCTACTAAAGCCTCAGTAACATGGAGGGCCAACTCTCCTGGCATATACAAATAGCAAGAAATAGTAGCCTTTGCTGAAGACTTACTTCATTCCTAAATCAAACCATTAGAAAAAATAATATACCTATTTAGTTTTGATATCTTATTGTCATATCAATAAACATACCTCCAGTTAATTTCTTGGTCTTTTTTAAAATACTTATTATCCAAGGTCCATAATATTTCTAGTTATTTCGCTTAACCATCAAGAATATTTGTTTGCTTCCAAATAACTCGGAATTCACTTTTGTAACCATTATAGTTGTTACAGATTTTACTCAGAGAATTCTGATTTTCTCAAAGTGGTAATACAACAACTGATCTTGCTAAAAGCAACTTGCTCGGTAGCAACTGTATGATACAGAATAGCAACAGTGAATACAGTTGCTATGAAAGTGCTAACATAGCAAGCTGCCAGATGACAACTTACAGAATAAACTCCTATATATCAAAATTGGAAAAAATAATTTGTAAATTTAAGGGCTAGATTGATCCCTTCATAGTTATTTCTATTTTTCTATTTTAAAATACTCAAATTGGTTGTCACTTAGAAACCAATGAAAAGAAATTAAAAAGGAAAAAGAAGTTGAAAAATAAAACGATTTGTTACGTGGGATATCATCAAGGTATTTATATCGTTGACTTTCAAAACATTCTAATTACTAAGTATATTTAAATTATATCTTGATATGAAATTGTTTTTATTAGTTTTTAAAATTATCTAATCAAATTTAATCATAAGAAAAATAAAAGTACAAAAACTGCATTTAAAAGAAAATTATCGTAAGCGTATGGATAACAAATAAAATGTGGGCAGAAATCAAATTTAAACACGTATCATGTATCACCATGTAAATTAAAACAAAAAACATTTTAACATAAATATCTCCTTAATTCCACCGATAATAATCTACTAGTTTGATAGGGAAATATATTGATAAAATACATTGAAAAAATTTATATATTTGCATAAAATAGTTATTTATGCAACAAGTGTATAAAGTTACTCAAAAAACGGACTTTGCACACGAGTTGCATACAATATTTTTTCTACTACCGTACACATTATCCACAAATATTAGAAACATAAAATTTTTCTTTTTTTCACTAGTGCGTAAAGTGCTTAAACGTTATATTTTGTAGCTATGTACAATTTTTGAACTCCGTGGAGTTCGTGAAGTATGTACTTTGCGCACGGTAGTAGAAAAATTATATTTTTAAGTTGTTTAAACCTGAAAAAACTGAAACTGTAAAAATATATATTTATATCCAAACATGTATCTTATTTTTATTTAAATTGTAATTCAAGAAAACTGATAATATCCCTCAAAATTTAAAAAAAAAAAAACACCAAATCAGAAAACGTCAAAAAGGCCATAGAATTTGTTGGAACTTTTTTTAACAAATGTAGTAGCATAGTACTTGGTCACGCCTTATATATCTATTAAATAAGCTAAATCGCTTGATTTTAAAAATAAGTAATTTTTATCCAACCGAATTGATTTTGCCCAACTAGATTAAAAATATTTTTATTATTACCTAGGTATGTATGTAGAAAAGTTAAATTTCAATAAAAAAATTTGAAAAATTTAATTCGCATAACAATTTTAAAACCATATTCTTCATTATTTAGGTACTTTTAAATTAAAAATAATGTGGTATTCTACATTGGAAAATAAATGAATTCAGTTTCAAAATAAGTTAATCAGAAAAATAACATTAAATAATCTAAACACCAACAACCCTTTTGTAAAAGCAATCAATTCATTATCAATGAAAAATAAATAAATTCAATTTCAAAATAACAATATCTTACCTTTTTAAAATGAACTAAACACCAACAACCCTTTTGCACAAGTAAAGCAATCAAGTCATTAGCAAACAATTATAAAAACAAAAATTATAGTTATCAATTCCAGATATTCTTAATTATTTCCCGTTGTATAAGGCATCCGGTAAATCACACCACAAGATATACGTGTGCCATTCAGGATTATTAATATTCACCAGAGTTTCCCAAAATGTGTACATATCAAAAAATAATAATTCAAAAATTTAAAGAAATATAGCACATAACAACCATAAATAAGAATTAACTTTTTGAATGAGGAGGAAATCAGCACCGTATTTAAAAACTCTATTAGTAGTTTGCGATATAGGTATTTAAATAATTAGAATGGGATAAAATGATAATTATTAGAAAGTGGTAATTTTTATTTTTAATTTAATTATCAATAGTTCCAAATATCCAGGCAACCAAATGACGTTTACGTAACGAAGATTAAACCTCATAAAAATCACCAATTCACGTGTTTCTTTGACGTTACAAATCACGTGAATTTTTCTTATCAATTTGACGTCATCTTAGGTATGGTCTTTCTCAGACCTAAACCTAAACATAATCGGACCCGGAAGTAACATAAGGAGGGTATACAGCAACGTTGCGCAATCTATACTACTGTACGGTGCGAAAATATAGAGACATGTTAGATAGAGCACACAGCAAAATTGACTATATGGGATACAGGATTATTTCCACGGAGGCGACCTTTGTCATAGCAGGAATCACTTCTGTGAATTTGTAAGCGGAAGAGAGGAAACATCTAATAGAACATTATACCAGCGAGGAAGAAAGAAGACAAACAGAAGAGGGTACAATGAGAAAATGACAGGAATTGTGTACTGAAAACCCTTCAAAAGGACAGTAGAAAAATTCTCTGATCCCCCCCGTATAGACGAATGGGTCAACTGTAAATACAAGTACACAAACTGTTGGATGACACAGTTCCTAAGCTGCCACAGATGCTATGGCTTCTGCACACATAAGTTCGGCAAAAAAGTAAACGAGCTATGTTACTACTGCAGCAATATAGACACACCGTTTTCTCATATCAAAGATGAAAAAACGAAAAAGAAGAGATGAAAGAAGTCACAAGTCAGAGGTTAACATCGGAAAAAGTAATTGGATACATAATAAGCAAAAAAGAACATTTTAAAAACGTTGATAATTTTGTCAGTCGACTACTATAGAGCAAAGAAACAAACAGAAAGGAGAAAACAGCCTCAAAATGATACTGGTATAGTCATAGTTAAAGCCGGAGACAAGACATATGCAGACCTATTAAGGAAGGTGAAGCGAGAAGTTTCAATATCTGAAACATCGGTAGTACAAAAGGTGTGACAGTCACGCGAAGGAGAATTAGTACTAGAGATAAGAGGCGAAAGGCAGGAAGCTACAAATGTAAAGGACCTGATAACAAAGCAGGGAACTATTGGTGCTGAAACCAGAATGGACAACGGAACGAAAACGCTCAATATACTAGAGATCGAAGCTATAACAGAAAAGAGGGAAATAATAGAGGCAATAAGAGAACAACTTGGAAATAAGGAGGGAATAAATTATTTCTTCGTTATCAAAACCAGATAGCCATGATCGAGGCCAAAGAAGAGATAGCGAACAAGTTACTTAGCCAAGGAAGACTGGAGCTGGGATCGCTTAGTTGCCCGATAAGGGACCGAATAGAATTACCAAGATGTTACGAGTATCAACAATTTGGACAAATAAGAGAGGAGTGCAGAGGAGATGACCGCGTTGGAGACTGCCTAAGGTGTGACCAAAAAGAACACTGTGCCAAAAATTGCCGAACAGACGCTCCAGAATACTGCCATATGGACACCGTGTCAAAGATTGCCGAACAGACGTTCCAGAATACTGCCATACTTGTGGAAAAGAGGGACACAGAAACAACACAATGAAGAGCCCGGAATATAAAAGGCTACTGGATGCGGAGAGGACTAAGAAAAGAGGGCCTACTTCTTATTAATCCTATAACTGAACGCCGGAAGGGCACACGTATTTCATGATGTGACAGATACAGAATGATGTTCATGATACAACCGAATAAAAGTAAAGCGTCAAAAAAGATTGGATAACCCACGACAAAAGGGATGTGGAAATTACGATGTGGAATAGACAGATGAGAGTAAAACATGTAAAAAGAGCAAAGGGTTTTCTTAGGATAGATTTCGAAGAATACTCCATAGTGAGCTGCTATATTTTACCAAACATATCAATCAAGGAATACAAAGATAGTCTAGACGAAATAATAAAGAATATCGAGCACTCAAAAGAAATCGTAATACTAGGAGATATAAACGCAAAGCGATGATTTGGGGCTCACCAATAGTAAACGAAAAAGATCTATACTGGGAATAATGGATAGAGTCCACATATCTAGTGGTACATAACACTGGAGAAATACCGACTATTGTTAGAGGCGAAAGTTGTTTTTATATTGACGTTATACTGTCCACCAACAAGATTGCAAGGAATATAAAAAACTGGAGGGGTTCAAAAGAAGAATCCCTTGTCCTGCACAGAATTATTTCTTTCGAAGTGAAAAGAGGCAAGAATAGGCAAATATAAGCAATAATAGGAAAGGCTAGGCAATAATAGGCAAAGATAGGCAATCTAGTCACAAATGGACGGAAAAGAAATTAAATAAGGAAAAATTGGAAGAACAATTAGGAAAAGACAGTGTTCCCTTCGAAAACTTAGGATATAGAAGGACAATAAAAAATCTAAATGACATACAATACCGATACCTAATTGGGATTAGAGAAGCAGAAGAATCCAACCATACTGGTGGAACGAAGAAATCGAAGTAGCAAGGTATGCGGTGCTACGACGCAAGGAGAATCTTATTGAGAGCGGTAGTGAATTCGCGGTGAGGTAGAAATCGAAGACCTAGATGAAATCTATAAACACATAAAAAAGGAATATAAGAGAAAATTAATGAATCTAAAAAAGAACAATGGAAAACCCTCTGCGACGAACTAGAAAACAATATCTGGGGAAACGGGTACCAATATGCAATGAAAAAACTAAAAAAATGTTATATTACCTATCGAAAAAACAACAGCCAGTAGAGTTCAAATCACCAGGAAATTATTTAAAAAGACAATGGAAACGATCGGAAGAGAATTCATCACAGATGAAGAAGGGTCAGAGATATTCACCAAAAAAATCAGAGGATGCAGCGGACAGCGTAAAGGAATGGACGAAGTACTCGCAGATACTTTAAAGGTGTTTGTTAAGCATAACTCTCGGGACATAATAAGAATCTTAAATGGACTACTGAGAGAGAAGAATAGACTTCCAAAAAGCTAATGTGATCCTTATACCGAAAAGCATCGCTAACACTGCGGAAGACCAGAAATACAGATCAATTTGTCCCATAAGTGTAATGGGAAAGTTAAATGAGCAGGTTATTAAAAGCAGACTAGCAAAGAAACTGGCGTTAAAAGAAGATTTATCAGAGAGACAATATGGTTTCAGGAAAGGCAGATCTACCCCAATGGCAGTAGGAGAGATCATGAATAGTGTCAAAGAAAACAAAAGCACTATTCGTTACGCTAGATGTAAAGAATACTGCATTATGGAAACTGATCACAGATAGACTCATTTTTTTAGAAAGTTCGCAGTATCTAATTGCATAGCTATTTCTCTTCCAAAACGGTGGTAATTGATGGAAATGTATTAGGCGTAATTCAAGGAGTGTCACAAGGTGCCCTGCATTATGGAATATATTGTTCAACCATATTCTGAACATCACACATTCACAATACCTGAAGTCAGGTTTATCCCCGCATACACTGACGACCTGGCTTTGATAGTTACGGCGAAGGACAAACAAAACCTCATAGAAAACGGAAACGAGTCCTTAGAAGAAGATTAAATTTTGGAATGAGAAAAACAAACTAGAATTGGCCGTTAATAAAACCGAAGCAGTGGTAATAAAGGGAAGGAGAGACAAATCGAGTGTGTTATTTAACATAAGAAGATCACGAATAGAATCAAAAGACTGTCTGAAATATCTAAGCATATAGATTGATAAGGGTGGATCCTTCAGAAACCACAATACCTAGACTAGAATCCTGTGAAACCTAAATGGACCCGGAAGTAGCAAAAGAAGGTTATACAGCAACATTGTGCAATCTATACTACTGTACGGTGCGGAAGTATGGACAGAGGTGCTTAAAGTATAAAAATATAGAGACATGTTGGTTAGAGCACACAGAAAAATGGTACTCAGACTATAACGAGATATAGAACTATTTCCACGAAGGCGACCTTTATAATAGTAGGAATCACTCCTGTGAATTTGTTAGCGGAAGAGAGAAAACATGTAATATAACATGATACCATTGAGAATGGAAGAAGACAAACAAAAGAGGGTACAATGAAATAAAGGCAGGAAAGGTGACAGGACAGTGAAAAAAAAAACGCTGATCCTCCGTATAGAGAAATAGGTCAACTGTAAACACAGGTACATGAACTACTGGATGACACAGTTTCTAAGCGGTCTTTTGGAATCCCACCACAGGACAAGTATTCTTTCGGGAATGGCATCACTGTTAAATATTTTTTATTTATATCTAGACTCCTCTTCCTGGTTGTTTTGAACCATGCTTTAATGGTAATGTAAATTACTTCTTGAATTAATTTTACGGCTTCTTCTTCTTCTTCTGAATCGACACCTCCCAAATAGTCGTCCATGTAATGGTCTTCTATAATAGTTTGAATAGCTTCAACGTAAAACATATTTTTTTCTACGATCACCATTCAAAGTAGGTTTTTGGACATGAACTGGAGTAGTGCTAGTAGTACCCAGAATATATTGGAAAAATGCGGAAAAATATATTTATCAGAGAGTGATATTGAAGCTATTTATTGCATAAATTAGATGACATATCATGTGTATACCAAACTCCGATAGCTATCCCAAAAAGTGCCCTCGTCCGTCACCATTACATCAAAGCTACCTATCCCAATGTTCAGGTAACAAGGTTGATGCAAAGGTGACGTCATAATGTCAGGAGTTCTACAGTACTCCCCCTCAGAGTTTTGCATACAAAACTTGATACAATTATTGTTACACATAACTAAATATAAAAACAAAAAATATTTATCATATTTCTTTACAAAATCTGACGTGTCGTTCTACCTTCTTGATGTCTTCGGAAAAACCGTAAACAGGCTTAAGGCGATCTATGGAAATATTAGCATTTTTGCCTTCAATAACAACAGTAAAATATTTTTATGTCCTTGCTATTACGGGATACGGTCCATTATAGGGTTGTCGCAAAGATCCAACTATCCTAACGACACGAACAAATACGTGAGAGCAGTTAGACAGGTCCTTAAAAACAAACTCCGATGGTTTAGAATGGATAATATTGGTCTTGGGTCTTAAAATAGAAAATTGTTTACGCAACTGTGCAACATAGTAACTGGCAGGTATATCGGTGTCATCGTGAGAAGAAAGGAAGTCTGGAGGTAGGCGAATTGGTTCTCCATATGCAATTTCCGCAATCGTTGCATTCAGGTCTTTATATACTCCCAACATGCCCATGGTGATAAATGGTAAAACGTCGACTCAATTTTGAATTTCGTAGCAACGAATTAAAGCTTTTAAATGTCGATGCCATCTTTCGATAATAATATTAGCTTGTGGGTGATAAGCGGTTGTTCTAATTAGCTCAACTCCAAAAGTTTGGATAAGGATTTAAAAAGATCACTCTCGAATTGTCGACCTTGATCGGTTGTTATTCGAAGAGAAACGCCAAATCGACAAATCCATGGGGTAAAAAGTGTTTTAGCCACTGTTTCAGCTGATATATTACGAATTGGGCAAGCAACAGGAAGTCGAGAAAATCTATCTATAATTGTTAGGCAAAATGTATACCCATGACAAGAGGGCACTGAACCAAATATATCTATATGCAAATATTCCATTTTAGAACTAGTTTGGAAACTTCCAATTGACGTGACGAGCGTTGGCAAGGAATACAAATTTTAGGCCATTTTCTACAATCTTTTGTAATTGCAGGCCAGACATATCTTTGCTTGACTAATTTAGTGGAAGCGCGTATTCCAGGATGGGAATATCCATGAAGAAGATCAAACATTTTCTTTCGAAAAGGTTCAGTGACGTAAGGTCGAATAGAAGAAAGAGATGTATCGCAATATAAGCGAACGTACGTTCGTACCAGGAGTAATAACCTTTTCTAATTTTAAAGAAGTACTATTATTTGAGAGCAAGTTTTGTAATTCTGAATCGGTATCTTGTGATTTAGCAAGTGCATGAATATCTAATAATTGATCTACAGCATTCACTCTACTAAAATAATCGGACACTAAATTTGCATTACCTCTTACATGTCGAAGATCAGTAGAAAATTGTCCTATAAAATCAAGATACCTAAATTGCATAGGAGATGCCTTTTCAGATTTCTGTTCAAAAGCAAATGTTAGCGGTTTGTGATCTGTAAATATGATAAAATCCCAACATTCGAGGTAGTGGAGGAAATATTTAACAGATTCATATATAGCTAACAACTCTCGAATGTACTTTATTTGATTTGAGCTGGAGATAGTTTTCTGCTAAAAAATGCCAGAGACCCGTTGATCATTTTACCGATCACCAAATGGTATATTGCGATTTATTAATTGATTATAGTTATCAGAAAACAAAGATTTTTAACTTATAGAGATTATCAGAACTTTGATTCTTCAGTTTTTGAGCAATACCTACGCAGTATTCATTGGGATAACCTTCTGTATCTTAATGATATTGAAAGTAAGGTACGCTATTTAACAGATGCAATATCTACAATTTTCGATGAACACGCTCCTTTTCGAACAGCTAGAATAAGTAAACCTAAAGCACCTTGGTTAACTCCTACATTAAAAC